TTTTTTTTTTTTTTTTTTTTTTTTTTTTTGTAATTGTTGTTTAATGCTTTAATTTCAAGCAATTTTAATTTAAAACGAATAAACTGCCGTTGAAAAAACATTTTTTTTACAAAAGCTGTTTAAAGACTTGATGTCAATATTCCTTTAAATTAATTACAAGAGGGTTGGATTGCGATAAGGCTCGTTTAAGTAGATTTAAGTAACTGGACTTTCAAGACTGGAAACAATATCAAAACAATATTCGCAATGCCAGGGTCATGCAGTCACTATTAAGTACGGCCCCCTAAGCCCCCCCTCCCCCCTCCTGGTATCATTAATGTATTAATGGATGGACTGACTTGACCAACATAGCAACGTCGTTGTCGCCTGCTAAAGTTTACGTGGCACAAATGTGACCTTAAGGCGATCACAAGTCAAACACAGGATGTTAAAGCAAATAAGCAAAAATGTCCTGTAAAATCAAATAACTATAAATTTCCCGTAAAAGCAAAGAAACACAAATGTCCTGTTAATAAAGCAAATAAACACATGTTAATTTTGTCCTTAATTAACGACACGAAATTATTAAAGGGACGCTACCGTCGTAAAATTATAATCATGAAGTTAATGCTTCTTATTCCTCTTTGATAAATAGTAATTCATCATGAGGAAATATACCCTATCATACAAAGATAAGTCTCGTGATTGGCTTATGGTAACTGAGGACAACAGCAAACGATAGAAGCAGGTCTAAGCTTACTAAAGACAAAACAAACACTAGTCACTGATTTTAGCATGGGAGGAACACTAAAAATATGAAACTTTAAACTAGTTCACTTTGTAAAATAGTTATACCATATGTTCAAAGAATTATGGGAAGGTTGTCCAAGCTCGTTCACGGACAAATGATTTGGAAGCAAAACGGGGAAAGAGGGGGGTGGGGTAGATTTTGAATATAAGTTACGATTGAAAATATTCCTTTGTTTCATCCATATGATTGTATGGATCAGTGAGATGACGTCCTCCAGATCTTTACACCAAATTGTTGTGAAGGATGAAATGGTTTTAACCAAAAAATTCAGAGCATTCTTTGGGTCTGCGATAAAGCTTCACCCAACTTCATTGCCCGCCACAGGCAGTGTTTCTTTCAGAAATTTTACCCCGGGTGGGGGCATATCAGATTTTCGGGGGGGGGGGGGGG